TAATGACTCTTGAATTATAAAATATTCCATGAAATATTCTATGATCCAAGAATTAAAAAAAAAATAAGAGCTTCTTTATATCCTTTTTTTTTCTATTTATCTTTTGTGAATTTTTCTTAAAATCTTTCTTGAAATTTTTTTTTATTCTTCTTTGTCATTTTTCTTGTATGTATATTTTCTATTCTGCTTTTCTATCTTCAACAAGCTCTACTTCATTACTATTTACATCAACATAATAATGTGTTGTTATAGGTGAAAAATTAGTTAATTATAGAGAATTAAGATTATATATTCCGAGTAAGGTGAAACTTTGATTCTTTGATAAATATATTGATATAAGGTAAAGTCCCAAATGTTAGATTAGAAAAAGTGTTTCAGGAGAGTAAGAAGATTCTGTATTTCAATGACACACCGCAGAAGTGGTTCCAAAATGCAGAAAAGAGTTATAAATTGAAAAAGGTTATAAATGTTAATCTCATAATAAAACATTTTTTAAAAAAAATATATATATAGAAGTTACAGTTGTTGTTTGGGACGTGTCTTCCATAAATATAAGTGGATTTTCGAAAAACTATAGTGTGGGGAGTCAATAAGGGGTAGAAATAAGGGGTAGGGGGCAAACAGTTCAAGTATTCTGACTCTGGTTAACCCAAAAATGGAAAAAATAAAATAAAAGAAGTAATGATGTTTATGTTCACCAACATTCTTGATTTCTTGTACAAATTCTTATTTTATCTTAATAATTTACTTTTCTGCGATTTTGTTTCTTGTTTCATTTCCATTCTTGAATGACATTTCTTATTATTCTTACTTTATAATTGAGTTTTCAAATTTATATTTTTATTTCATATATTTTTATTCAATTTTCAATTTTTACTCTTTATTAAAGTTTTATTTAAACTACTTTACGTTGCTCACTAACTTTTTAAATTTTTTTTCAAAAAAGAGTAAATATGTTTTTATTCTTTAAATTTTAAAGTGAAATTGAAATTTATTTATGTTTAAAATTTTGATATATTTTGATTCTTAAATTTTTAATATAAACAGATATAGTTTTTTTAATTTAATTACATTATTTTCTTTAATATAATGAACTTGTTTCTAGTTAATACTGAAGCGAGAATATCTCCAATACAAAAACAACTCAAATGTTAATATAAAACGTATATGTTAAAATTTAACATAATTGAGTTTAAAAAAAACTATTTTCATTCATTTTTAAAGTTTTGAAACAAAAATGTATTAGAATTTTGGATAAAGAAAAATTTCAATTTTATATCAAAGTTAAAAATTAAAAAGTATTTATTTTTTATTTAATGATTTTCTTTTAATATTTAAAGGCTTCGCACTTATGCATAAATTTTATATTTATGTTTATTTTATTAATAAAACAATTTTTCTATAAAAATAAAATTTTAAAAAATAATGTAATTTGAATTAAACTATTCTATTAACTTTTCTAGTTTTAATTTATAAAATAGATTTAAGAGAATATTTTATGTGTGTATTTAATCCATGAATATGTTTGAGATTTGTACTTAAAAAAACTCAAATTTATATTTTATTTTAAAAATTTATTGTTGATTACAAACACATTTTCTAATAACAGTTGTTATTAAAAACACAAGTCACATCAAATGATTTATTGGATGCAATTTATTGGATGCATAGTTAATGTTACTTTTTCTTCAACAAGCCAAATCTAAAAAAACTATCCATTGTGTATGACTCTGGACTTTAGAAAAATTCAAGTAAAAATACACTTTAGAAGGAGAGATAAGCACATCCAACTATTAGGACGATACATAATATTCGAAATGATTATATTCTTCAATGTCAATTTAAAACTATTCAATGAAAAAGATGAAAAATAATGTTGCAAAAAATTTTACACTTCTAAGAAGTTTCATAGAAAACATTGTTGGATTAAGTGCTTACTACTACACTAAATATATAGCTTATAGTTAGGATACAACTTTTTTTACTTAAGAGCATAGGAGGTTAAGTGTGGCAATTCAATTGTGATTTAGTCCACTTAGCCTTTTCCAAACAATTGATGCACCTTACAATGATTCCCAACAATTATCCCACTAGAAATCAAATTCTTTGGTTATGACTCAGCCCACCTATCTATGTCATTAGATAAATGTGCAATCTTCAACAATCTCCCATAAACAATGTTCCATTGGGAATTAAAAACACGACTTTAGCTTTGATACCAACTGTTGAATCAAACACTTACTATTAGGCCAAAAGCTATGTCTTATAGTTAGGATACAACTCTTTATACTTAAAAGTATAGTAGCCTAAGTGTCATGATTTAATTATGACTTGACTCACCTTATGTCTGTCACATAATAATTGATGCACTCTACAACAAACATTGTTTGTGTTCACTTAAAAAAACTAGTAGAGTGGACGGAACCATGTTCATATTAAAAGACAATATTCTATTTTAGTGAGAAACTTTGTGATTTGTTAATACTATTAAGATAATTTATCTATCTTAGCCAATGTAGTTGTTTGGAAAATAATACTTAGTTATTAGCTAGGAATTTTTGTTGTTAAAAAAAATCTTGTTTGAATGAGAAATAACTTGTTTAAAATATGCTTAATTAAACTGATTAAACCATAAATGATTTGTTAAAAAAATATTTGATGAAACCAAAATTAACTTGTTAAAAGAATACTTGAATAAAGTAGGTGTGACAAATAATATATAAAATAAAAATGACTTGTTGAAAAAATAATTTATTAATCAAAATATGATTTATTAAAATAATATTTGAAATGAGAATAGCCAATAGTGGTTACAAACATAATCCTCAAAAAGCTAAAACCAAACAAATTCTTTAAAGAGTTAGTTAGGATTAACTCCAAATCCAAATAATACTAAAACAAAAATCAACCAATAAATAGTTTCTAAAATTAAATAATAAACACACACAAAAAAAAAAAATAATAAGCACGAACTCAAACAATCCTTAGTCAACAACTTAGGATATGTATCCGGACCCTTCATTAAATGTAAAAATTGATTCTAATTTATTTCTTTTTCTTTTGTAGTAATTTTCGTGTTTGATTGATTATGACTTACTAGCACAAACAGTTACTATACAGGGAAAACTGATAATGCAGACTTCTCCGATCATGCTCAGTGTTTCAATCTCGAAGACTGCCCTAAACTCACTGACTAATCTACCCTTTGTCATAAAGAACGATTATAATAAAGTAACAAATTAATTCCATAAAGATTTCTTAATTGACAGTTTGACTCACAGACAAAATAATTAAAGGAAAAGATAAAAGACTTTTCTAAGTTTATAATATTCGTATAAAAAAATGCTTAAATGTTATGTGATATTTATTAGTCACTTTCTCTCAATTTTCTACATTTAATTCCAAATCTTATTATATTTGTTTTACAAAATATTACAAGGGAATTGCTTTAGAGGAAGAGACCGAATTTGTTTTGACAATTTATTTCAACTGAGATTGTTAGATCTCAACCATTCGCTCAAAACATTGTTTGCGCACAAAAATTACATTAAAAAATAAACTTCAATAACAGTTAGGTTAAAAAATATCGAGAACAATTTAATTTCTAACACGTTTAGTCTTTTAAAATATTAAAATCATTGGAATGAAAAATAGAAACTCTCAAATCGAATTTAATTGACTTTGTTACGATGTTGATTGTGAGCAGGGTCACATGTAAAAGTAAAATATACAACTATTATTGTTTTATGGAAAAATTGAACTTACTTTCTATTACGTTATATGATACTTTTAAATAAACCTACACACTGATTATTTTTTTATTTTGATGATTTTATATTCTCTTAAATTATATATATATATTTTCAATAAATAATATACTTTTTTTTATATCTATAGTAAAGTTATATTAATTTATTTTGTTTACAAACATCATAGTGATTAAATTTTAAATAAATAATTACAAATATTGTAAAATTTTAAAAAAAGTTATATATAAACATTTTCATTTTATTAAATGAATTTCATGTTAACAATATTTAAGAAGTCATTAAAAACTAGTATAACTTTTTATAATCAGATCACATAATATTTTATGTATAAAATATTCTTTAATCTTTATATTTTTAAATTTTAACATTTAATTTTACAATTATATTCATTAAATTTTAGTTAATGTATTAATTTCAAATAAAAAATAGATACGTATTTAAAAATTAAAGCCTTTCACCAGTTTCTCTCTCATAATTGGAGGGCAAAACTCGAAGTAAAAGTAAAAGTGAAAAAACAACCACTCGAATTCTCACACATTATCCCATATTTGATTTAAGGTTTTGTTATTTTGTAATGAATAAATTCAGGAATATGAAGTGGATAGATCTTAATGAATTTAAAGATGGAAAATTAAAATCAATCTGGCTAATATGTTCTTTTTATCGTTTTTTAATTTCCAAGAAAAAAACATAAAAGTTATTTTAAATTATCGTTTTCTATTATTCTCAACAGTAATTTCATGAAAAAAAAAACAGCGTAAAACTTTTCGGAACTAATTTTAAATTACCAAATACAGTCATCAAGGCATATTTTGTTATTATAAAGTTCTAGTTAATTATTGTAAAGTAAAAAAATTAAACATTCACAGTAATTATAAATTAGTATAGATAATAAACTTATTTAGTTTCAATAATTATGTTATCGATCTTTTTAATAATGCGTTTAATTTCAATAATTATATATAAATTAATTAACAAAAGTTAATTGCAAGTTCAAGTTTACGTAACTTTCTGTCTAAAATAATTTTGACCACTTAGAATAAATTACATCACGGAAAATATACTAATAAATTGAAAAAATAAAACATATATTTAAAAACCAACGATGGTTTTACTTGAGTGGAGGGTGACAATTGATGGCAGCCTGTAAAATACAGAAGGTTTGTTACCAATAGGAGTTATTTAATATATATTTAAATTAGATAATAATGTCGATTAATATTGTGGCAGGCGGGGTCATTCTGATGGCGTGGCGAGATGATAGATAGATACAGCATCTACGGTACTGCAGAGGAACCCAACTTGAACACTTTCTTGAGCAAGTAAACACCTGTTCCTGTTCTTCTTCTGCTCCTCTTTTTGCTGCATCACATTCATAAACTCTCTCTCTCTCTCTCTCTCTCTCTCTCTCTCTCTCTCTCTCATGTGTTATTGTTATCATTCATTCACAAGTCACCAGTCATAACTTCCAGCCAAAGCTGCAAAATTCAACTTTTCTTCCCTTCCACTGCTGCATGAGCTAGTTTCCAAGCCATAGAGGAAGAGATAGTCAGAGATCTAATGGAGTACGAGAGGATAGAGAAAGTTCAGGTTTGGCATTTAGCCTCACTGCTGCGTTTTATCTCCTCTCCTCGTGTTTTTTTCTTCATGAAAAATTAAATCTTTTTTTTTCTTTTTCTTTTGGTTGGATTGGTGGGAGAGTAGTTCTTGAAATTCAAGGTTCGTGTTGGAGGAGTTCAGAATGGTCACCCCTTCTGTTTCCTCGTGGGCTTGGTTTCATTGATTCCCTCCAAGTGAATTTTTAACGTGGTTCAAGAACCAGGCTTTTACTTTTTCTACTTTTGTATTGAATGGAAGGATGGGGTTTGTCATTATTATTGGGTGGGTGGGTGGGTGGGCGAGGAAGAGAGGAAAAAAAAGGCTGAAAAGGGAAAGAGAAAAAGGGTAGGATTCATTTGCCCTCATTTTTCTTCTGAGTGAAACGGTGGGGTGGGCCTTTTGGTAGAAAAGAAAGTGGTCATGTATTGGGTATAATTGATTATGCAGTGTTCTTCAAAGTGTATTCTGTTAGAAATTTAGTACTTGAGTTATTCTGCGATTTTGATGAAGATAAGTATGCCATTTGTTATGCAGGCTGGAATAATTTCTCCCAGTAAACTGAGGATGAAGTTGTTAGGGCCTCATCATCATAGGAAGAAGGATGGATCCAATAGTAATTCATCCAGAACTTCCCCTTCAAGGCTTGAAGATGCTGAATTTGTTAATAGCTTACTTGCTTCAAAAAATGACAACCTTGAAGATGAAGGTCTGGAAATGCAATTCCAATATCTTTATTTTTGCATATACATTTACTTTTTATTTAATAGTAAAATTATTCCTTCCAGTTACATCTCCAAGCTTAGAGGTTCTATCATTAAAGCCATCCAGTGATGCTGTGGTGGACCGGAAACAGAGTGGGAAGATTTCCCATGAAGCAAAGGAGACAATAGCGAAGGAAAATGGTGAGACGGGTCGTGTAAAGATGCAGCATTTTCAGAAGGTTGTTGGTAGTGGAAGTTCAAGCACAATTCACGCGCTGAGATCAGTGGAAGATGAAAATCTTGATTATGACAGCAATGCCAGCTCGTCGAGTTTTGAGTTTGATAAAGGAGAGAGACCGGGGAACAATCCTGCCACTAGATCTCTATTCAGACCTATTCCTTCTAAGTGGAACGATGCCGAGAAATGGATAATGAATAGGCAAAACATACATGCTAATCACTCCAAAAAACATGTTGCACATAACCAAGCGAATCGCATGGCATCAAGCATGGTGAGGGTTGCTCCCGAGTCTGCTCATTATGATCATAAGCTCCCCACAGGCAAGGTGACGGAAACGAAGAGAGTTGATTTCTGTCAACCCACATCACATACGGGATTTGAAAAGTTCTCTTTTGTTCCCTCCGATGCTCATTCAGTTTCAGGTCAAGCACATGGAGCAAATCCAGTGGTAGAGTCTTTTCCCCAGAGCAAAGATTTGAAGGAAGTGAATGAATTGGTTCTATCTTCCTCAAGAGGAACAGATGATCAATCAGGTATTCTGTTCATCCCCATTAGTTATAATATAGAGAGTGGATGTGTTTGGTGGTGAATGATCTGAGATTCTGAGTGAAACACTGAAACATAACATACATTTTTATTTTTTTATTTTCCATATGTGACATGTTCGGAGTTTGGAGAGAGTAAGGTTAACTTGGTTTTCATGATACAGTGATGCCTGGGATAAGATCCGTTGCGATGAGAGACATGGGAACTGAAATGACCCCTGTGCCAAGTCAAGAACCTTCGCGGACAGCTACTCCTGTTGGGTCTGCAACTCCACTACGGAGCCCAGTTTCGTCGATGCCGTCGACTCCTCGGAGAGGTGCACCAGCTTCAACACCTTTGGACAACATGACCGATGAGGATTCCCAGTTTCCCGTTGAAAATGGCAGAACACATTTGTCTGAAGAAGAGATGAAGATAAAGACAAGGAGAGAGATTGCAGCCCTTGGAGTGCAGCTTGGTAAGATGAACATTGCTGCATGGGCAAGCAAAGATGAGCAGGAAAAGAACCAATCTTCTCCTCAGGGCACCAATATGCAAGAACAGGAGAGAATTGAATTTGAAAAACGTGCTNCATTATTATTGGGTGGGTGGGTGGGTGGGCGAGGAAGAGAGGAAAAAAAAGGCTGAAAAGGGAAAGAGAAAAAGGGTAGGATTCATTTGCCCTCATTTTTCTTCTGAGTGAAACGGTGGGGTGGGCCTTTTGGTAGAAAAGAAAGTGGTCATGTATTGGGTATAATTGATTATGCAGTGTTCTTCAAAGTGTATTCTGTTAGAAATTTAGTACTTGAGTTATTCTGCGATTTTGATGAAGATAAGTATGCCATTTGTTATGCAGGCTGGAATAATTTCTCCCAGTAAACTGAGGATGAAGTTGTTAGGGCCTCATCATCATAGGAAGAAGGATGGATCCAATAGTAATTCATCCAGAACTTCCCCTTCAAGGCTTGAAGATGCTGAATTTGTTAATAGCTTACTTGCTTCAAAAAATGACAACCTTGAAGATGAAGGTCTGGAAATGCAATTCCAATATCTTTATTTTTGCATATACATTTACTTTTTATTTAATAGTAAAATTATTCCTTCCAGTTACATCTCCAAGCTTAGAGGTTCTATCATTAAAGCCATCCAGTGATGCTGTGGTGGACCGGAAACAGAGTGGGAAGATTTCCCATGAAGCAAAGGAGACAATAGCGAAGGAAAATGGTGAGACGGGTCGTGTAAAGATGCAGCATTTTCAGAAGGTTGTTGGTAGTGGAAGTTCAAGCACAATTCACGCGCTGAGATCAGTGGAAGATGAAAATCTTGATTATGACAGCAATGCCAGCTCGTCGAGTTTTGAGTTTGATAAAGGAGAGAGACCGGGGAACAATCCTGCCACTAGATCTCTATTCAGACCTATTCCTTCTAAGTGGAACGATGCCGAGAAATGGATAATGAATAGGCAAAACATACATGCTAATCACTCCAAAAAACATGTTGCACATAACCAAGCGAATCGCATGGCATCAAGCATGGTGAGGGTTGCTCCCGAGTCTGCTCATTATGATCATAAGCTCCCCACAGGCAAGGTGACGGAAACGAAGAGAGTTGATTTCTGTCAACCCACATCACATACGGGATTTGAAAAGTTCTCTTTTGTTCCCTCCGATGCTCATTCAGTTTCAGGTCAAGCACATGGAGCAAATCCAGTGGTAGAGTCTTTTCCCCAGAGCAAAGATTTGAAGGAAGTGAATGAATTGGTTCTATCTTCCTCAAGAGGAACAGATGATCAATCAGGTATTCTGTTCATCCCCATTAGTTATAATATAGAGAGTGGATGTGTTTGGTGGTGAATGATCTGAGATTCTGAGTGAAACACTGAAACATAACATACATTTTTATTTTTTTATTTTCCATATGTGACATGTTCGGAGTTTGGAGAGAGTAAGGTTAACTTGGTTTTCATGATACAGTGATGCCTGGGATAAGATCCGTTGCGATGAGAGACATGGGAACTGAAATGACCCCTGTGCCAAGTCAAGAACCTTCGCGGACAGCTACTCCTGTTGGGTCTGCAACTCCACTACGGAGCCCAGTTTCGTCGATGCCGTCGACTCCTCGGAGAGGTGCACCAGCTTCAACACCTTTGGACAACATGACCGATGAGGATTCCCAGTTTCCCGTTGAAAATGGCAGAACACATTTGTCTGAAGAAGAGATGAAGATAAAGACAAGGAGAGAGATTGCAGCCCTTGGAGTGCAGCTTGGTAAGATGAACATTGCTGCATGGGCAAGCAAAGATGAGCAGGAAAAGAACCAATCTTCTCCTCAGGGCACCAATATGCAAGAACAGGAGAGAATTGAATTTGAAAAACGTGCTGCTATGTGGGAAGAAGCTGAGAAATCTAAACATACTGCCAGGTTTTATTTTACTCACATTCTCTATCAATTACAGATACATGTAATTTGTTCATTGTTACTAATGTGATTGTCTCGCGTTTGAATTTGCAGATTTAAGCGTGAGGAAATCAAAATTCAAGCATGGGAAAGTGAGCAAAAGGCAAAATTAGAAGCCGAAATGAGAAGAACCGAGGTAATTATTTCATGACAATCAGAGTTAAAGTTAGAATCTCTCTGTATTTTCTGCTCTGAAGTAACATAGATTGACCCTCTGCTTATGCAAGGGTGGATAAAATGATAAAAAAAAAACCTTTTTTCAGTATAAGAACTAAATCATATGATTCTTTGGTCATTTAATTGCAATATGGCTGTTTGAAAATACTTTAGTTGAAGACTGTTATCTTTATTACTAGGCGAAAGTAGAGCAAATGAGAGCACAGACGCATGCAAAAATGGTGAAAAAGATTGCTATGGCGAGGCAAAGGTCAGAAGAAAAGCGTGCTGCAGCTGAAGCTAGAAAAAATAGAGAAGCAGAAAGAACTGTTGCTCAAGCAGAATACATACGCCAAACAGGACGATTACCCTCTTCCAGTTACATATGTTGTGGTTGGCTGTGATATAAACCTTAAAGATTGCACTTGAAAGAAGATGCACCTCACTCCTTGATTGCTTATCTTTCTTACCAAGATGATATGGATCATCAAAACTGTCTATATCATCTTATACGTTACTTGAAACCTTGTAATTTTCAAACAACTGAGTGCAAGTTGCTACTTCATTAAAGTGATTGCCGAGTGATGTTTACAAGTTACGAAGAGAGAAATGTTTGCTTCGATGTACCTGGTCTTTTCTATTTCATTTTATTGTAAATTTTCTTGTGATTTTGCTTTTAGCTTTTGGTGCTATTTCAAATTCGTGTTGCAGAACAGAGAATATTCAGTGCATGGATGGAATAGAAATGAAAAAGGTCTAAGCTTGAAAGAAAATCTCAACAAGATCCGATCTTTCTATCTTACTACATATTTGAGTGTTGATTCTATAAAACACTTGATATTCATTTATTGACATGGTTTTAGAAGGATTTAATATGCTATTTAAGCATTGTCTTAGCTACCGTATTATATGTCTGTATTTATTATTTCTTTCTATTACATTGTCGTAACTTTTTCCTACTGTATTATGTAAGTTTTTATTTTTTCATTTATATATAAATCATTCATCTATGCGTAATAAAGGCAATCTACGATTGTTAATCAATCATATATTATGTTTTTTCTTGTGTTGCGTGCCTCTTTTTTTTTTCTTGATAAAGTTTAATATGGTATCAAAGCATTTTAATTGAGGATTTGTATTTGGCATTCTCCTCATGAGTATCTTGTTCAACGAGTTAATAAGTAGAACAATATTCAGTGTACATAGCCAATTTGCACCTTCATCCTAGGGAAAAATTTATTTCTATTCTTGGAATTGATATATCGTAAACTATTATTATTATATAGAGGAAAGTTGAATTCATTGATAGAATAACTTCAAAGTCAATAAAGATAAAATGTATTTAATATGGTGCTGGTATAATAATATAGTATTATTCATTCATTCTTTCAAACTCAAAACATTCTGTAGAAGAATAAGGTTGATATAATTTGGTAAAAGTTGAAACTGTTTTTTACGAAGAGATCTTTATAAAATTTAGGTTAAAATCCTATTTTGGTCCTCTAATTTTTATTTTATTTAATTTAATCTTCTAGTTTTTAAAAATGATTCAATTATGTGTTTTATGTTAGATTGACATTAGATCTTTATTAGAATTTATACATCACATAACCTAAAAAGTCTAAGTATTGAAATTAATTTCATTTTTTAGTTGTAGTGATTTGATATGTAAATTTCAATAAAAATTTAATGAAAATGACCAAATTAAATTATTTTTAAAAATTAGAGGACTAAATTAAACCAAATAAAAATTAGAGATGATTTTTTATAAGAATTAGAGGAAAAAAATATTTTATCCTAAAATTTACAACTACAAACATCTTTGACAAAATAAGGTGATGTTAATGTAATATAACTTTTATTATCAAATTACTTGTTATTGGGGATGAATTTGAGAATTTTAGACTTGATATGATAACTTTGTATACTATAAAATATTGAAAGAATACTGTAAATATTATTCCTCAATGAAAATTGGAAGATGAATTTATGCAAATTTTACATGAATTAAATGATTATTATAATATCATATCAAATGTTTTTATGAATCCTTTTTCATTAATGTTTGAGATTTTCTCTTATGTAATTCAACAAGATCATAATTTTTTAGTGTCATGTTTAATGAATGTTAACATGTTAAAGGAATCATTATGTAGGTCTCCCTCTTTATAGATGATAACATATATCAACTCAAAGAAAGCTTTAAAGCAAGCCATTGGAAGCTCTTGGCCAACACCCAAAGAAGAACAAAATAAGTTGCAATTAAAAAAAAGTGTTGAGATTGTTGATAGGGGAGCACTAATTTAGCTGAACCTACAATCTTAGTGATATATGTGTTTTTGATGATAACAACACATAATTAATAACACATGAGTATTTTGTGTAACATATTCTATGCTTACATGTTATATGCTTTTGTTTACTGTGATAAATCTGTATAAGCATATTTGTGAACATGATTGTGTTGTTCATTACATATCATTGTGTTTAATATGTGATTTTATATGTGTATGCATGACATGAGTTTTTTGGAAATGGAAAACCACAAGCACTTTGGTTGAACTTTAATGTATAGCAAAACAATAGTTTTAAGTCGATTACATTGAATCGATTAAAACTCGTGAGTTTGCACAAACTCTTTTCAAGTGTGCTATGAGATATTTTGAGGAGAAAAGTTTTCAAAAAATTATTCTAAGTGTTTTTACTTAATCTGCTGTATGCTTCTTGTATTCGATTAAGTCTGTTAAGTTTTTGAAAACTGTTAAATGCTTGTCACAACTGACATAATGGTCATATTTTTAAATATGTTTACCAAGCATTTATTGCAAGTCGATTGTATTAAATGTGCATTCAATTACATGCTGTGATTATTGTTAGTCTGTTATAACTACAAAGTGTATTCGACTAGATTACTAGCTAAATCGATTAAAATGTGTATGATGTGTGTAATGCTATAAATTGACACTAATTTGAAATCTGTAAGAACTTTTGATTATAACACTTTCATATCTTTTAGAAAACGCTGTGATTTCTTACAGAGAAAAGAGAAGCTCCAAGAACCAGAGACTGACCGTGGTGATCAAGTCTTAGAGGTTTCTTGAGAAGTAAGATTTGCTGGGTTTGAACATCTGATCTATCTGCACAAAAAGGTGTAATCTGCGTAATCAGAAATTTCTGCAATTGTGAAGATTGGCTTATTCTATTGTGGTTACAGGAAGAAGAACTCTGTTCTTGACTTTGAGGGTGGCTCAAAGGGTTTGACAGCAGAAGAGGGTGTTCTTGCTGCGTGTCTCTATTGTTTACTGCCTATATTAGATTAGAGGGTTAGAGAGATGTTTTACATTTTTGACGTGAGGACGCTGTAAAAACCTTGATCTTTATAGTGCATCTGCTTTTTATGGTTGGAAGGACACTGGATGTAGGCTTGGCCAAACCAGTATAAAAATCAGTGTTTGAATTTTCTGATACCTACACTATTTTATTAAGTCGACTACGCTGTTAGTATATTCGATTAAGTTTACTACTACATTGCATATCTTTTAACTTGTGATTCAAGAAAGGTGTAAAAATATCTTATTTTGTGAAACAGTTTTTGAAAGATTATATTTTTGACACTTCACCAATTCAGCCCCCTCTTGGTATGAGAAACTAAGCTATTCTAAGATATTTCATTAATCAATTTCCTTCACTAAAATCAGTATTACACTTTCCAAGTTGAAACGAGTATCTACCTCTCCAAGATATAATGAGTATCAATCTCTCCATGTCACACCAAGCGTAAACCTCTTCAGGTATCACCTTCTTAACCTCCTCCTAAGATTAAGAATTAAGTTGAAAATTACAAGAAACACTCTTAAAACAAGATAGTACAATTCAACTTGAACACGATACAAATTTACTTTGTGAAAGATATTACAAAGGTTAGGCTCTCAACCCAATTCACACAATTCACTATAAATATGAATATTCATATGAGTAGACCGTTTGATTCGAAAACATTCTTCTTCTAGAGTATAACCATCAAAAGATAATTCTTAAGGTTATGACTCATTTAAATAAATCTTGATTTGAATTAATTAGATAAAAATATTAATTCAAATAATTGATTATTGATTAGAAGAAAGAAATGACTTAGCCAAGTGACACAATTAGTTTAGACTCGTTTATCGTGTGTAGTCGTCTAAAGCTTTGTTGGGTTATGTTGACTCATCTAGTTAATGCATTCATGTATTGACTTCTTCTTAGTCATCATTGTTTGAAAAGTATGATGGCTTTAATTGTTTAGTACCTTACTTGTCCAATGGCTTTTTTAATTAGACTCATCTGGTTAACTATGACCATGGGCTTTGACTTACCTAATGCCTATATTTGTTTAATGTCAAGACTCATCTAGTTCATGCACTAAACTTTTAGTTCATAGAAATAATTATGAAACTTAAATCATAATTATTAAACATTTGTAAACACTTGTGTAAAATATATATCTTCATTTGTAAAACATATTTGTTAGACACTTCAAGTATATGTATCAATTATATTTTTCTCTTTCATTGTCTAATTCTTTTTCTTTTAACCAAAGACTTCTCTCGTTTAGTTGTATATTGAGTGTTTTACAAAACCCTTTTAACTTTATGGACTCATCTACGACCAACAAACTTATATAATATAACTTGATGGACTCATTCTTAAGTTTGCAACACATTATTATTTCTCTCTTTGCTTTTGTATAATTATTGATTTTGGTTTCTATCCCAGAGGTTTAAAGTACAAGAAATAAGTTAAATGTCCTTTGCTAATAATGGAACCATATTATCAAGCCATGGATAATCATGCTTCTTTCCCTTTCTATTCTTTGCAACTACATGAAGCTTGTGGTGTTCTTTATTACTTGAACATTTTATGGTATTTGACAGGGATGTCACAACCACTACTCAAGAATTCTTGCGTAGACATTTCTTAATCTCGTGATAAGGTCCAATTTTAAACACATTATTTGATTGCAATTATATAATATAGTGGTTGGAATACACTTTAAAATTGTCATCTTTAAGTTTGAAACATTATTTTTTTTCTCTCTTTACTTCTCTATTGTTACTGACTTTGGTTTCTTTGTTACAAGTTTAAAATAAGACAATTAAGTTAAATGTCCATTATTGATATTTGGAATCATATTATGAGGCTATTGTTAATCATACTTCTTTCTCTTTATAATCATTTCAACTATAGGAAGCTTTTCGTCTTCTATATTTCTATAACCACTTAAACTTCATTCAATGTAATCTAACATAGTAGAAATAAGAAAATAACTCTTCAATTTCAAAGAATAACTAATAAAAGTTCACATGAACATTTTGTGGTCACAAAACTACTCAATAAATCTTACACAATTTTTTTTAATCTCATTATAAATTCCAATTTTAAACATATTATTTGATTGAACTTATAATATAATGGTTTGAATACACTTTAAAGTTGCAGTCTTAAATTTGTAACACATTAGTTTTTTCTCTCTTTACTTATGTATTGTTACTAATTTTGGTTTATTTATCAAAGGTTTAAAGTAAGACATGTAAGTTAAATCTCCTATGATTTTGGAACATATATCAAATTATGGATAATCATGCTTCTTCCCCTTTCTATTCTTTGCAACTATATGGAATTTTTGGTCTTTCTTTATTACTTGAACCACTTAAACTTTATTCAATGAAATATAACATAATAGATATGAATAAACATCTCTTCAATTTCAAAAAATACCTAATAAAAC